TTTCTTCTCTCTCATATCTCCCACTTTTCTCTTCCTCTAAACTGACTACAAATGTTTCTGACATTCAATTTATATCAAACTCATGCCCCTAAAACCCAAACAACAGAAGAAAAAAAAGTTCTAACTTTTTTTTTCTTCACTGATTGTCAGTAGTAATAAACTGCATGTTCCAGCTCATTTTAAGGTTCACTGAAGCTGAAAATTGTTCTGGAACATGCAGTAGGTGCAACTTTTTGTAGGTGTAACATGTAACTATTTACGAATACGTGCTTTTTGAGATAAGTAATGAATACGTGCTAGAAGTTTGATGAACGTTCTAGCGATTTGTTCCAATGATAAAATGTTTCAAAAAGTATAAAGAAAATCAACTGAAACAACAAATATCAGTTGAATAATTTCATTCATTCCATCAAGTTTCCAACAATATTTTGATTATTGGTTAATTTCATCAAGTTTTCAACAAGCTTTATATTGATTATTCAGTTAATTTCACCAAGTTTCCAACAAGCTTTGAACTGATTATTCAGTTAATTTCACCAAGTTTCCAACAAGCTTTAATTGATTATTCAGTTAATTTCACCAAGTTTCCAACAAGCTTTAATTGATCATTCAATTAATTTCACCAAGTTTCCAACAAGCTTTAATTGATTATTCAGTTAATTTCACCAAGTTTCCAACAAGCTTTAATTGATTATTCAGTTAATTTCATCAAGTTTCCAATAAGCTTTGAATTGATCATTCAATTAATTTCACCAAGTTTCCAACAAGCTTAGAACTGATTATTCAGTTAATTTCATCAAGTTTCCAATAATGAATTGATCATTCAATTAATTTCACCAAGTTTCAACAAGCTTAGAACTGATTATTCAGTTAATTTCATCAAGTTTCCAATAAGCTTTGAATTGATCATTCAATTAATTTCACCAAGTTTCCAACAAGCTTAGAACTGATTATTCAGTTAATTTCATCAAGTTTCCAATAAGCTTTGAATTGATCATTCAATTAATTTCACCAAGGTTCCAACAAGCTTTGAACTGATTATTCAGTTAATTTCATCAAGTTTTCAATAAGCTTTGAATTGATCATTCAATTAATTTCACCAAGGTTCCAAAGCTTTGAACTGATTATTCAGTTAATTTCATCAAGTTTCCAACAAGCTTTGAATTGATTATTCAGTTAATTTCATCAAGTTTCCAACAAGTTCGAATCGATTGGATAATTTCATCAAGTTTCTAGTAAGTTTTCACTCGAATATTTCATTAAATTCATCGAACTTCCAACAAGTTTATATTTAAATCTTTTCGTTAATTTCATCAAGTTTCCAACAAGTTTTTCCTTGAATATTATTTCAATTTCACCAAGTTCCCAACAAACTTTTGTTTGAATCGTTTGAGTTATTTTTCTTTAGTTTTCTACAATTGTCATAAAACGTAATGTCTCGTTCAAATTTTGTTTTATATCTTCACAGAATAATGAATACAACAGTAAAAAATGAAAACCAAGAAGACTGAAGATCTTCCAGCGATAAATATAGCTGAAGCTATTAAAAGTTAGCAAAAGAAAGCAGAGGCTATCAAGGAGCCTGAAGTCCAGGAACTCGCATTGAGTGAATCAGAAGATGAAGTTGAATCGGTAACTTCTGGAATTTCAGCGGGAACTTCTTATAAAGCAAAAACTGTTGAACAAGATCAAGATAAAAAAAGGAAAATTGATTGGGAACCGATAAAACTAGACCTGACTAACGTTCCTGGTAATCGAACGATTACAACTTCGGATACAAGTTTCCAAGATAATAAATTTATTGTATCAGATAACTTGGTTTTTTTCACGGATCGATCAAACTGTGGTGGAAAAGTTTGTAAAATAAGGAAATTCTGGTTTAAAAACGGTCAAGTGGAGGCATCGAGTTCTGGGGAGAATTTTACCGTGACGATATACCTAAATTTATAGCTCATTCCAGAAAGTTTACGAAATGGACAACTCAATGAAAGAAAAACGATATGAAAACCCAAAACTTGAAACTGAAATACTGCTTTGAAATAATATTTTACTCAAATTCAATCAATAAATAATTTTGCAAATAATTCAAGGATATTTTCACTCATATGTAAATTTAATACTTTAGATCGTTTTATTGTTATAACTAATGATTTCAATGAATCTCAAATATTCTGAATGCTCGACTGAATGATTTATATTAGACAAAAGTTCTGAATAGTTTTCTTGATATGATTAACATGTAAAATGTTTTAACGAATTTCAAATATTCTGAATGATCAACTGAATGATTTATATTAGACAAAAGTTCTGAATAGTTTTCTTGATATGATTAACATGTAAAATGTTTTAATGACACTCAAATAATCTGAATGATCAACTGAATGATTTATATTAGACAAAAGTTCTGAATAGTTTTCTTGATATGATTAACATGTAAAATGTTTTAATGACACTCAAATATTCTGAATGATCTACTCAATGATTTATATTAGACAAAAGTTCTGAATAGTTTTCTTGATATGATTAACATGTAAAATGTTTTAACGAATTTCAAATATTCTGAATGATCGACTGAATGATTTATATTAGACAAAAGTTCTGAATAGTTTTCTTGATATGATTAACATGTAAAATGTTTTAATGACACTCAAATAATCTGAATGATCAACTGAATGATTTATATTAGACAAAAGTTCTGAACAGTTTTCTTGATATGATTAACATGTAAAATGTTTTAATGACACTCAAATATTCTGAATGATCTACTCAATGATTTATATTAGACAAAAGTTCTGAATAGTTTTCTTGATATGATTAACATGTAAAATGTTTTAATGACACTCAAATATTCTGAATGATCTACTCAATGATTTATATTAGACAAAAGTTCTGAATAGTTTTCTTGATATGATTAACATGTAAAATGTTTTAACGAATTTCAAATATTCTGAATGATCGACTGAATGATTTATATTAGACAAAAGTTCTGAATAGTTTTCTTGATATGATTAACATGTAAAATGTTTTAATGACACTCAAATATTCTGAATGATCTGCTCAATGATTTATATTAGACAAAAGTTCTGAATAGTTTTCTTGATATGATTAACATGTAAAATGTTTCTATGAATCTCAAATATTCTGAATGATCAACTGAATAATTTATATTGAAGAAACGTTTTTGTATAGTCTTTAGTTTATCATGTATCGTTAAATGAACAAAAGATCAAACCTAATATAATGACTTAAATGAAATTAACAGAATATATTTTCAACATGCTGATTCTTTATTTTTTTTCTCAAATGTATTTTTATCTTTATTACAGATAGAGTTATTCATTACCAGTTGAACCAAAACCTGAAGCGTTTCTTGAAGTTTCACAAGGAGCTTCAGTGGTTTGTTTCAGTTGGTTTACATATGATTTAAAATGAATTTGAGCTACTGGTAAGCCTTCTACAATTTTATGTACCTTATTGTTTCGGTTATGAAGAATAATATTTATTTCTTTCGAAGCATTTTTTTTTATAATTGATTCGATCACGTCAACACCGAAATCAGCAAGCAATCGAGAACCAATGAGATGAGCATAAACATTTTCGGGTAGAGATAATCCAATGTTAGTTGGATAAACAGCTCTTTCACCAGGTTGTAAAGTAACATCTCTATCAGAATATAAATAAAACTTTGATATTCCATCAGACGGTTTTGCCATATGAACACTAATTTGCTCGATGGTTTTCATAACTTTCACCGATTTATTGAATTCAGAGTTAATCGGTTCAGATCCAGTAGATGAATTAGGAGCAACTGAGACTTTACAATTTTTTTCAGGTTCTTTTCCATGTTTAAAGATGAGAACTTCTTTTGGCTCGTGAAACGGTTCGAAAATTATTTGAGAAAACCTTTCTCCTTCTTTTATAACTTGAGAATTATTACTATTATTTATAATCAAAACCTTAACTTCTCCATGAAAGTCTGGATCGATCACTCCAGCACCAACATCCAAACCTTTCAACGCAAACGAACTTCTAGATGCTATTCTTCCGTAAATTCCATCAGGCATTTCGAGCGCAATTCCTGTTCCAATTATTGCTCTTGACCAAGGGTTGAGATTTTTAGATTCAATTGCATACAGATCCCATCCAGCAGCATTCACTGTAGAACGTCGAGGGATTTTAGCGATAGAGTTTAACTTATAAAAAGAAACAGATGAGTTGATTATATTCATTTTTCAAAACTTTTCACTGGTTAAAAAAGAACAGTAAGATGTTGTTGGTGAACTGAATGAAGTTTAAAGATTTTATTTAGTTTATATACACTTATCAAATCCCACCCATTTTTCTTCATGAACTCAATAATTGTAATAGATAAATTTAAAATTCATAAATGATTTAAAAGACGTGATTTGAAGATTAAAAGATAACGAGCTTATCAACTAAAACCAATCAAGTTAAATTATTCAACCATATCAGATTCAAATTATATTTTCTTATAACCATATCAGATAAAAATAGTACAAACAAATTATATACTATGAAATGTTTAAATTCAATGTTTGTAGTTAACTAAACCGTGAGTAAAATCAGATTAGATTATTCAGTTGAGATAATTATAAAATTGCTTGATCAAACATTAGATAATTAATTGAAGTTGTTAAATTAACCTTAACAGAAATAATATAAAAAACGCTTTTAGTATTAAGAATATAATCAAGATAAGCTCTTTAATATACAAAACGTTCACATGTTCAAACAAGCATATATAATTTATCAAACATGATCTTTAAAGTTCTAATTTGATCTCTCAATCATGGAAGGAGATTTGTTTGAAATCTAAAAATCTAAGTTTTTATATTTTGATACCTGTTAATATCATATTCATGAATATAATTGTGTTTAATTAAAATTTAGAGTTCACACCCATTTGAAAAGTTAAAAGTATATAAAAAAGAGTTGGAATTGAAATAATCATCAGTATTGCAATACTTTTGATACATCAAATGTCTAAAACTTTTTCACGTTGTGCACATTGTAGTAAAAAATTCAAAAAAGAAACAAATCTTATTTTTCATCAACAGTTATGTAAAAGTACTCAAGTTTCTGTTTCACGAAACCTAAAATTGAATTTACCTGGTGATTTTACTTTGCAAAAACAAGCCTTTTACAAATCTTTGAATGTATATTATAAAAGTTTTACTGAAAATTTCTTTGACATCGAAAATGCTCTTAAATCTGAAAGTGGTAATCTAAAACAATTGCTATCAACTTTTCTTGAAGTCTTAGGATTGTTAAAAGTGCAAATTGGAATCTGTTGTGAATTCTATAGATATGATGGCTTTGAAATTGTATGGATAGATCCAATGTTCAATTCAAGTTTGAAGCCACTTACCTCTATTGATCTTTATAATCAATTTCTCGATGATTGCTATTTTGAAATATCAGTAGACTTTGATTCATTCAATCAAAAAGGTAGTGGATGGATTCTGAATAAGGTAAAACTCATCGAAATTCGTATTGGCAAGTATATTCCATTACGTGGAGGGTGTAAAAAGAAATCATTACCTGGATTTATTTCATCGAAAGGAGCAATAATTCAACTTGAAGCCACAACTGACTGTTTCATGTGGAGTGTACTCGCTGCTATTTATCCAGTTCAAAAAACGCTTCTCGATTATCTAAATACATCGCACTATCACAAAATCATAACTTCAATGGTTATAAAGGTTATGTTGAACTTGATCGCATTCAATTTTTTGAAAAGAGAAATTCTATTTCAGTTAATGTTTATACTTTCTATTTTACTGGAAAAATGGAAGCTCCGATGCCACTCTACGTTTCTAAGAAACGTTTTGAAAAACATGCTAATTTATTATTATATGAAGACCATTATTGGCCAATTAAAAATTTCAACCGTTTAATTGGAAGTAAACAATCTCGTTATCACCATTTTTGTGAAAATTGTTTAACTGGATTTTTAACATCTGAAAAGTGCTTTGAACATACTAAAGACTGTTACAAATTCAAGCCATCTAAAATTATAACACCTGATCTTGGAACAAGAATGTTTTTCAAACAATATGGAAAAATGGTAAAATATCCGTTTATAATATATGCTGATTTTGAAACGCTATGCAAACCTGTTGAAAGCTGCGTAAATCGAAATACGTTTGAATATCAAGAGCATGTTCCTTCAAGTTTTGGCTATGTGATTGTAAATAATCATGGTAAAATTGTTAAATATGTTTCTCATCGTGGTCCCGATAGTGCTGTTGTTTTTTTGAGATCAATCAATGAATCATGTGAAAAAATCATAAATGCAATCAATCGGAGATTTTCACAGCTCAGGATGACGTTAAAAGATCAACAAGCTTTTGAATACGCAACGAAATGTCATATATGTGAAACAGACTTTATTTCCGGTGATACAAAAGTGAGAGATCATGACCATTTCACGGGTTTATTCAGGGGTGCTGCTCATGGTCGTTGTAATTTACAATTACAAATACCTGAAGACATCCCAATCGTTTTTCATAATTTAAAAAATTTTGATGCTCATATATTGATAAAAGCTATACAAACTAAGATGTATAAACAAATCAATATCATACCTCAAAATACTGAAAAATACATTTCATTTTCATTTGATAATATAAAGTTTATAGATAGTTATGCTTTTTTGAGCAGCTCATTAGATATTCTGTCTCAAGATTTAGATGAAGCATTCAAAAATTCATTTTTATTACAGCAATTCAGACCAGAAGATCTCAATTTTGTATCCGCTAAAGCATCTCTCCCATATGACTATCTAAATCATTTTGATCGATTTGAAGAGACTAGTTTACCTTGTTACGAATTCTTCTATAATAAAATGAAAAGAGAAAATATCGATAGAAATGTATATGATAACATGATAGCTCTTTGGAATCATTTCAAGATACAGAATATTGGTGAGTTTCAAGACATTTATCAAAAAATTGACGTTGTTTTGTTAGCAGCTGTTTTCGAAAATTTTAGAAATATCAGTTATGAACAATTCAAGCTTGATCCACCTCACTTTTATTCAGCACCAGGATTAACTTGGGCTGCAGCATTAAAGTCAACAAAAGTGAAAATTGATTTATTGAGTGATATTGACATGATAATGCTTTTTGAAAAAGGAATAAGAGGTGGTATTTCATCAGCATCGAAAAGATATGAGAAAGCTAATATTCCTGGAACTGAAGATTTTCAACCCGACGAAGAAGCTAAGTTCATAACATATCTTGACGTAAATAACCTGTATGGTTTTGCTCTACAACAACTCTACCAATATCAAATTTCAGATTTATTGAAAATACTGAATTTGATCATATATATAATCAATGTATCAATTCAAATACCGATGAAGATGAAACTGGTTATGTATTCGAAGTTGATATAGACTATCCTCTTCATCTACATGATCTTCATAAAGATTATCCTCTAGCCCCTGAACGCATCTCAATAGACAATGAACAACTGAGTCAATTACAGCTGGATATACTGGATAAAACACAAAGACCACGAACAAAATGTGAAAAACTGATTGCAACATTTCTCAAAAGGGAAAAATATGTTGTTCATCAAAGAAATCTAAAGTTTTACGTTAAAAATGGAATGATCGTAACAAAAATCCATCGTATTGTTTCTTTCAAACAATCTTGCTGGCTGAAAGACTATATTTTACTCTGTACATATAAGAGAATGGCCAGTAAATCTAATTTCGAAAAAAACTTTTGGAAATTATTAGTTAACGCAATCTATGGGAAATCAATCGAAGATGTTCGTAAACATACTGAGATTAGATTAGAAACATCCCTTGATGGAACAATCAAACAAATGCAAAAGCCACTCGTTGAACGTTTTTTTATTCTAGATGAACAAAAAGCACTCTTCAAGATGCGAAGGAAAAGAGTGTATCTTAATAAACCAATATTTGTGGGTTTTACTGTTCTAGAAATATCGAAATTACACATGTACCAGCTGCATTACTGATGCTGTTGCTTGCTGATGTGTTTAAAACCTATTATGACAAAAGGATCGAGTTACTTTACACGGATACTGATAGCTTCATTTATTCAATCAAAACTGAAAATATACACAACGATTTTCATCATTTATCATGCATCTTTGATTTTTCTGATTATCCAGTTGATCATTCAAGTAAATTACAAAATGATATACACAAAAAAAAGTTGGGTTATCTTAAAGATGAGATGAATGGAAAAAATATACTGGAGTTCATTGCACTCAAATCTAAAGTATATTGTTTCCGAACTGATGAAACAGTTAAAAAAACAGCAAAAGGTGTGCAAAAAGTGGTACTTAAGAAGATGGTTACATTCAATGACTACAAATCAGCCTTGATCTCACACGAACTACTTTATCAGAATATGCGTTCTATTCGAAGCTTACGTCATATAATAAGCACAATCCAGACAAGGAAGCTAGCTTTGAACCCATTTGATGATAAGCGCTATTTATTGGAAAATGGAATTGATACACTACCGTTTGGACATTATTTAACTCAAAATCATTCATGTGAGAAAGATCAAATAGATAAATAAACCAGTTTTGTCTTTATGTTTCATATAAGAACGAATCACTCAAAGTTAACCGACATTCGTTTCAACAAGTGTTAAGTGTTAACATCTCAATTCAACTATTTATATTTATATAATATTTAATGTTTTTTAATTCACTTGATTGTCCTAAAGTTTGTAATATTGTAACATTGTGGGATTTGAATAAAAAAGTTTCAATCGTTGGTAAATCAGGAAAAAAGAAAAAGTTCAACGCTGATATTTATAGATCTGGAAGAAGTAGACTTTTGGTTTTCGGATCCGGAAAATTCATTGCAACTGGTTTCAAAACTGAAAAAGAAACAAGTGAGTTTGTCAATAAGACTTTTCCAGAAGCTGTTCTATTGAAGATAGTTAATATTACTGCAAGTAAAAAATTCGCTATTCCAATAAGCTCGAAAAAAATCTTTGAAAGTAATTTGGATGTTGTATATGAACCTGAACTATTTCCGGCATTGAATTGGAAAGAGGACGGGGTTTCCTTTATTTATTACCCTAAAGGATCATTAATACTAACTGGGGCGAAATCTTTGGAACAGTTGGATCGAGCTTATTCATTATTTCACAAAAGATTTTATCAAATTCACAATGATGAATAACATTTGTGCCTTTTTAGACGTTCAAGGGTATTACTGCAATAATAAATTTTACCCACGTGAGATAGCTGTACTTGCCGACGACACTTTGATTTGTTTAAATGTATATACAGGGTTACAATTAAAAACTTTGAATGAATCTGAGAGGAAGCAAGCCTCTTATAATTTTAAATTTACTCATGGTTTGAAATTTGAAACAGATGAAACACATATGCATATAAATCAAGTATCAACATTTTTAAAGCTATTTTATAAGGCTAGAGTTGATTGTGATAAGTTTTTAATCGCTTGCAAATCAAGAGAAGCTGAAGATGTACTAAGAGATGCCATGATCCCTAGAATAAACCTTAATAATATTGGTGCAACCTGGTCTATAATTAAACGAGAATCACAAGCTTGTCCTCTTCATTATAATGATAAAATGAAATGCTCATTAAATATTGTAATGTGGCTAAAATCTTGGGTTGAAACTCAAAAAATATATAAAAATATTGACTAATTCAGAAAAAAAATGTATAAGAACTTATTAATAATAAATTTACAATGAATTATATACTTATTAATAATGGAAGGTTATCAAATTTATTTAAAGCATCCCTTTACAATGGTAATAGCTGGTCCAACAAGTTCTGGAAAAACTTTTTGGTTAAAAAAATTAATCGAGGGAGCATCAAAATTCTCATACCCAGAACCTAAAACGATTACTTACTTCTATAGTGAATATCAAGAATTATTTAATACACTACCTTCTGTTAAATTCATTCATGGGTTTTCAGAAACTTTATTGAATAAATTCGATGGTAGTAGTCCTCAATGGATTATCATTGATGATCTTATGCATGAATCAGTTAATAGTAAGGTAATATCAGAGCTCTTTACAAAAGGTAGTCATCATAAAAATCTATCGATTATATTAGTAATGCAAAACTTTTTTATAAAAGGAAGTGAAATTCGTAATATTACACTGAATGCTAACTATATCGTTTTATTCAAAAATCCAAGAAATAAATCTATTGCTACAAGTATTGGTCGTCAAATTTATCCAGGAAGCATACGAAAATTTCAGGCTGTGTTTGAAGATGCAACTAGAGAACCATTTACATACTTATTTTTGGATATGAAAAATGATACACATGAAGAAGTAAGACTACTAACAAATGTTTTGGAAGAAAAAGAGTATATAACTGTGTATCAAATTTAGTTTATATAAGATTTAAATACAATTTTTGATTATCTAACATAAAATCCGGTGTAATTTTATCTTTAAATTATGGCTGTTTCTGATGCAATAGAAATGTACCCGTACTTGAAAAAACTCTGTAAGAAACATTCAAAAAGTAAACGAGGAAAAATAATTGAAGGATGTCCGAGAAAAGTTTATAAAACAATAAATGAAATTTCCAGAAATGTACTTACAGGTAATATAAGACTTAATAAAAAACAGATGAAAAAAATCAAACCACATAAAACCATTGTGAGGAAATTAGCTAAAAATAGTTCTCTCAAAAATACGAAAAGAATTTTACTACAACACGGTGGTGCTTTACCCGCATTACTTTTACCAGCGATTTCATTACTAGCTAGTGTAGTTACGGAAAAGTTCATAAAATGAATGCATTCACTAAGATGGTTTTAATATCTGAAGATGAATATAAAAATAAATGTCAAGTATTAGATACAAGCATTATGAAAAAAATTATGTCTATGAATATGGATAATGCAACTAAAGTAAAGATAGCTAATAATGCGTTATTAAAACATATATTAAAAAGTCAAAAGGAGCAGAATAATACATTGATAAATGAAAAACCTAATATACCATTAGAAAAAGAGCGTTCAACATCTAACTGGTCTGAAATCTCTGATGATCAGAAATTTGAAAGTATCCTGAATGATTCATTTGAACCTGAAACACAAACACTTACGAACAAGCCGAGTCATAGTGACAATTTTTCTTCAACACCAATTCCATCTTCTACTGTTTCAACTTCAGAATCAACGCAAAAGTCTAGAGCTTATGATTTAGAAAAAGCATTACGTGAAATTCCTTCATTAGTGACAATAGATGGAAAAGTTTTAAGAGCTAATGGAAGTGAGTATCATAATAGTAATATAAAAAGAATTGTCAATTTTTTATGTTTGTTTAAGACTACACAAGCTAAGAAAATGGCTACACCAATAGGCACGGAGCGTGTTATACAAGAAATTGAGAAACTACCTTATCTTTTTGATCAAGTTAATAATTCACCTGCTTTAAGACGATTTGGTGATAAAGGAAAATCATATGAAACATGGAAGAAGCTTTCAGAGATGAATACTTCTCTATCGAAAGACTGGGAGCTTTAGGAGGTGTATATCGATTATATAGAGCTCTTAAGAAAAAATACCCAAGTGTTTCATATTTAAAAGTTAAAAGCTGGTTAGAAAAACAGAATACATATAATTTATTTAAACAAGTAAAGAAAAATTTTAAGGTTACCAATTATCGTGACGTCAATAGATGAACAATGGCAAGCTGATTTGATGGATGTTTCATGGCTTCAAAAATCAAATAACGGTTGTAAATATTTATTAAATGTAATCGACTGTTTGAGTCGCTATGCTTGGTCTGTCCCCTTAAAATCAAAAACCAGTGATGATGTTATAAACGGTTTCAAAAAGATTTTTTCAATGGGAAGGGTACCTACTAAAATACAGACTGATCAAGGCGCTGAATTTAAAAATAGAAATGTTCAACAGTTTTTTAAGCAGAAGAATATTTTTCATTTTACAACAACAGATGATTTAATCAAATGTGCAATAGTTGAACGATTCAATAGAACATTACGAACAAGGTTATATAGATATTTATTTTATAGCAATACACACAAGTATTATGACATCCTTCAAAGTTTGATTAAAAGTTATAACGAGTCTTATCATCGAACTATACAAATGGCTCCATCTTCTGTAACAGAAGAAACTCGTTCTCAGGCAATAATTAATATAAGAAAAACTCATAAAGTAGCTCAAAGCTTACAAAAACCATACACCATCGGAGAAAAAGTGCGTATAAGTAGACGTAAAAAACATTTTGAAAAAGGTGCGACAAATAATTTCAGCGAAGAAATTTTTGAAATTTATAAAGTTAAGAAAACCGATCAAGGATATATTTACCGTTTGAAAGACACTGCTGGTGAATTTATAACATCTTTATTCTATCATTACGAGCTCTGTCCCGCAATTCTAGGCGATCTCTTCAACGTTGAGGTTCTTAAAACACGCATAAATAAAAAAACCAAAAAGAAAGAGTTTTTTGTTAAGTGGATAGGATATCCTGATAAATTCAATAGTTGGGTAGAAAATGTGGAATCAACCTGATGAATATTTTATAGAAGTTGTTTCAAACTCTTCGATGGAACACTTCCCTGAAAATACTTTAGCTAAATTTTCCAATAAATTGCCTCATCCTATTATGTTAGATGGAGAATGGGTAGTGGGTATACAAGAAATCTTTTATCCAGTTGATGTTAAGCCGTCTAAACGTAAACTAACAATTCAACTTCTTACACATGGTTTAAATGATAAGTTGTCTAAAGAAGTTGAACTTGATTCTAACGATGATTTGAATACTATTATTTCTAACATAAATAAGGCTTTCATGAATCTATTTTTATCTGTTGTTGATCAAGGTGAAGGCAATGAAAACAAGGTTAAAAGATCAACTAATGATCAGACCATCAGTCCTGACTTATCAGATTTAACTCTAGAAAAAATTAATCAATTACCTCAAGAAGATCGTGAAAGATTATTACAGAGAGTAAAAAACACTACTCAG